GTTCCCTGCAGGTAGGTGCGTTTATGCTCCTGCAAGGTATACAGGTAGTGGGCATGGCTACCCAGTCATCATCCTCGTCCCTCTGACCGCTGTTGTGGTGTTGTTGTTGTTGTTGGCGAAAAATCCTGGTCAAGTGTATGTTGTGGACCAGGGGATATGGTGGCACGCCTAGGTGCGGGTTTGGCCGTGCCACCCACCTGCGCTCTCCCCGCCTCCAGTCTTCTTGACTCTGTTTTGGCACTGGGTCCAGGTGGGGGAGAAGAGGAGAGTGCGGTAGATGCTGTGAAAGTCTACTGTCGCTATAAAAGCTAATTCGCGCGCAAGTCACCGTCCCTGCTGCACTTTGCTGTGTGGCACACGTGGACATCGTCGGAACCGACGACCGAAATGTCGTGGGTGTGTGTGTGTGAGAGAGAGAGAGGCAGTGACATACACCGGACGCGCTCGGCTCAACCTCCTGCTCTGACCTCTCACACAGCCACCAAATGGACCTATTAAGCCACATGCGTATTCATGAAAACCTGCGGTAGACCATTTTCGGCTATACCACATTATCGCACCTCTGCCCACCTGCACCTGCAAAACACGTCAAAATCATCTAGCACCACACCACACCAGCACGCAAATGACACATCTCACGTAAGTAAGAAGTGTGTTCCTCGGCTCCTTCTCCATGTGGTGCCGTTGGCGTATGTGTAGTCTGCGCCTGAGGCCGTCAAGGTGTGCCAAGCGCCGTGGCTTAGAAGGTTGCTGACTGATGCCTCGACTCAGTCCACGCGGTCGCACGGGGGCCCTATTTGGTTCAGATAGGCGTTGTCGGAATGCACATCATAACAAATGCTAATATTCGGGTGTGGTGGCAGGCCCAGTTGTCCGCTGACGTCGCGCCAATGGGGATCCCTGCCACCCCCCTCCGCAATGTTGTTATGGAACCCTGTTGTGGACCAGGGGTTGTGGTGACACGCCTGGATGCGGGTTCACCCGTGTCAACCGCCTGCGCCCTCGCCAGCCCCCAGTCTTTTTTGACTATGTCTTGATACCGGACCCAGGTGGGGGCGGGGGAAGGAGAGAGTGCGGTAGATGCTGTGAAAGTCTCCTTTCGCTATAAACTAATTCACACGCAAGTCACCGCACCTGCTTCACTTTGTTGCGGACCGCACGGTGAACGCCGTCGGTTGCGACGGTTGAACTGTTGTGTGTGTGTGTGTGTGTCTCTGAGGCATTCGCGGTGACCAATGGAGTGAAGCAGGGCTGTGTACTGGCGCCTTCCCTCTTCAGTCTCATGTTCTCTGCCATGCTGATGGACGCCTACCGCGACGAACGCCCCGGGATCCGCATCGCCTACAGGATGGACGGTCGTCTCCTGAATCAACGGCGCATGAACTTCCAATCGCGTGTATCCACAGCCACCGTGCACGAACTCCTCTTCGCCGACGACTGCGCCCTGAACACCACCTCCGAAGCGGAGATGCAACGGAGCATGGACCTATTCTCCGCCGCCTGCGAGAACTTTGGGCTGGTTATCAACACGCAGAAGACGGTGGTGATGCATCAGCCGCCTCCCAACTCAGCCACAGCCCCCAACGCGCCGCAAATCAACGTAAATCGGACTCAACTGCAAGTGGTAGAGAACTTCCCGTACCTGGGCAGCACGCTCTCCCGCAACACCAAGATCGACGACGAAGTCGCCAACAGGATCTCGAAAGCCAGTCAAGCCTTCGGTCGCCTCCAAAGCACAGTTTGGAATCGTCATGGTCTCCAACTGAGCACAAAGCTGAAGATGTACAAGGCCGTCATCCTGCCGACGCTACAGTACGGAGTGGAGACCTGGACGGTGTACGCGAGGCAGGCACGTCGACTAAACCACTTCCACCTCAGCTGCCTCCGCCGCATCCTGAGACTGAACTGGCAGGACCGCATCCCCGACACCGAAGTGCTGGAACGGACGGGAATTCTGAGCATCTACTCCATGTTGAGACAAATGCAGCTTCGCTGGAGCGGCCATCTGGTGCGCATGGACGACGAGCGACTACCCAAACGACTCTTCTACGGAGACGTCGCGACGGGTTCTCGTCGTCAAGGAGGCCAAATTCGCCGTTACAAGGATACCCTGAAGTCCTCCCTGAAGCGCCTGCACATCAACCCGACCAACTGGGAAGAGCTCGCCCGCAATCGTCCGACATGGAGGAGAACAGTGAAGACGGCGCTGCTATCTACGAAGCCAACCGCATCGCCGCCGCCAAAGCGAAACGCGAAGCCCGCAAATCACAACTTCGCCCAATACGCAACGCCGCCGCACAACCTCTCCCTACATGTCCTCGATGTCAACGAACATTCCGGGCACGAATCGGACTTGTTGGACATCTTCGAACCAACTGCACCTCTCGAACTGCTCCAGCCATCGTCCCTCAGCCCGCCGTTTCCTCGTCCTCTGTGCCGCCAACTAACTCTGACACTCCTTCTGCACCACCACTTCCATCCTCCTCCTTCTCCTCCACTGCCCCAGCGGTGGCCGTTCAGGCTGCCGTCTCACACATCGCCAACCACGACACAACAACCGCAACCACCCCCACCCCTCCCGATTCCAGTGATGAGGATCAGGACTACACCTGCCCTCACTGTGACCGCACCTTCACCTCAAACATCGGCCTGGTCGGTCACTTGCGAATCCATCGCACAGAGACTGGCGAACCAGTGCGTGGAGCACCAACCTACACTCACCGCACTCGCCTCCACTGCCCACACTGCCCTCGCACCTTCACGCATCGCATGGGTCTATTCGGCCACATGCGCATCAAAGAGAGCGGAATTGACCACAATTCCGATACAGCCACGACATCCAACACATCCACCACGCCCAGACCCATCCTCGCTCCACCGTCACGCGCGCCGACCACCACCACCGCCACCACCAGCAACACCACTGCTTCCTCTACAGCTGACACCGACACCGCCGACCTCTGATGCCCACATTGTCCACGCACCTTCACCTCACGCATCGGCCTGGTCGGTCACTTGCGAATCTATCGCACAGAGACTGGCGAACCAGTGCCTGGAGCACCAACGTACACCCACCGCACTCGCCTCCACTGCCCACACTGCCCTCGCACCTTCACGCATCGCATGGGTCTATTCGGCCACATGCGCATCCACGACGACCTGCGGTAGACAACCGCCGGTCACACCACACATTCCCTCACTCCCTACCTCCTAACACCATCACCCCACCAGACATCAACCCCACACACCTCATGCACTCAACTGCCGCCTCCCACACAAGCGGGAAGTGTGCATCTCGACTCGGTCCCCATGCGGCTTCGGCTGCACGGGTGACTTGTGTCCGAGACCATCCCGACACGTCAAGTGTCGTGGATAGGAAGGTTGCTGATTGAGGCCCGCTCTTGGTTCACGCAGTTCGTCACGTTGTGTGTGTGTGTTGTGTGTAGTGGCGGACTGGTGGGCTGCGGACGGGCTGCAACAGCACCTTCCACGGCACTCTCACGCAAGTGGGAGACACGCCGTTCTACCCCCGTTGTGTGAAATCCTGGTGTTTGTGTGTGTATGGGGGGCCAGGTCGTGCTGTGGCGCGCGCAGGCATGGTCAGTCGACCATGTCGGCCACCGCGCCCATTCCCCACTCCAGTCTACTGACCGGCTCGGACAGTGGCTGGGGTGTGGGAATGGGAAGGGAGAGTGAGGTCGACGACTCAGCGCATTTTCCTCACTATAATCAATCTAACGCGCTTGAAGCTATCACGGTGCGCTAAAAGCCGTGGCTTGGAAGGTTGCCAACTGACGGGGTACCTTGGACCTCCTCCTTGACTGGAGACGGTCTGAGAGTCAGACTGCAATGGCTCCTTTTTAATGTGGCCTTTATGGCATTCCCACCACAGTGTGGGATCCGAGCCAGGCGTTGGCGGCACGCCCAGGTGCGGCTTCGGCCGTGCCAGCCTCCAAATCTCTGTTGTGTTGGTTGAAATCCTGGTTATTGTTGTGTGGACCAGGGGGTGTGGTGGAACGCCAAGGTGAGGATCCGTCCGAGCCATCCACCTGCGGCCTCCCTCGTCTCCGGTCTTCTTGACTCTGTCTTGACACCGGGCCCAGGCGGGGGAGGAGGAGAGAGTGTAGGTAGATGCAACGCAAGTCTACCCGCACTATAAACCCCTGGGCAAGTCACCGTCCCTGCTCCCACCGCTGCTGCAGCTGTGGGGCACACGGTGGACATCGTCGAAATCGATGGTCGAACTGTCGTGTGTGTGTGTGTCTGTGTGTGTGTGTGTGCCCTCAAAACGGGCCACGTGTTAGATGTGCTGGACCAACACGGGGGCCACATCGTACTCTGGCAGGCGTTATCTGTGCGCAATAACAAATGCCAACATTTGCGGGGTGCGCTGGCGGACCCTGTTGTCGGCATTCGTCGCTCAACTGGACCACTGCCATCATCCCATTGCTTTGTGGTCAAAATCCTGGTCATTTGTGTGTGGACCAGGGGGTGCGGAGTGGAGCGCCAAGGCGAGGATCCGTCCGAGACATCCACCTGCGGCCTCCCCCGTCTCCGGTCTTCTTGACTCTGTCTTGACACCGGGCCCAGGCGGGGGAGGAGGAGAGAGTGTAGGTAGATGCTACGCAAGTCTACTGGCACTATAAACTCCTGCGTAAGTCACCGTCCTGCCCTCGCCAGCCCCCAGTCTTTTTTTGACTATGTTTTGATACCGGACCCAGGTGGGGGGGGGGGAAGGAGAGAGTGCGGTAGATGCTGTGCAAGTCTCCTTTCGCTATAAAACAATTCACATGCAAGTCACCGTGCCTGCTTCACTTTGCTGCGGACCACACGGTGAACGTCGTCGATTGCGACTGTTGAACTGACGTGTGTGTGTGTGTGTGTGTGTATGCAGCAAACCTATCTTACCTCAAAGAGGGAAATGGCTGAGGTCGATGCGTCGAATTCCGGATCCAGAGACGGGGCACTGCCAAAAATACGCCCAGCGACTTTTTGTAGAAAACACCTTGGGTCGGAGTTCTATTTGGTCTTAAGCAAAAGTCCAACTGCTACGTAAGGCCGGTCAACATCGCTGCTGCAAATGGCATGACTGTTAATCTGCCAAATTACTTTCCTGACCTCGGACTCCTCTCGTTGGATATGCGGGGTAGTTTCTACATGCGTCACCCGCCAGGGTAACCTAATTATTCATCCATTACAATGCACAACATAATTAACAGCACACGTGCTAGCTAAAAATTCAGACACTTGCTTCGCCCACAGCCTGCTGAAGACGTTTTATCAGTTCATCCCCAACATTCCCTGTGTGCTTTTCAGGCGGATACTCCAGTTTTAAAATTGCGGCTTTTTAATTTCCCCAGAAATTAATCGCTAACTTGGGGTGGATCAGTCTATTTGAGACTCATGGACTCAGACTGCAGAGACTGATTTATTCCAATTTAACGACCAATTTCTGAGGAAATTAAAAGCCTGCAGTAATCTCATTAGTCATTTTGGTGAAATTCCCCCGGAAGTTGCCGTTCACTTGCCAACCAGTTCACTGTGAGGCGTCTGTCGCAGTTTGGACTGTTTCTATTCGAAGACTGCAGTTCTTGAGTGCCGTCTGTGGTTCTCCTCTTCGTATGCGATTGCACATGAGACAGAAATCCAGATCGACTGCTTCTTCCGCCTCAATGATGTGGAAAAAACGCTCTGAACGATAACACGGAAATTCTGTCACATAGGTAATCTACTTTCGAGGGTGGGACTGACGGTCGCATTCACCTTAGTTTAGCTCATGTGAATGACTAGAATGAAAACAATTTTTTAAGGAACACTCGTGACTGTAGAGGGTGTGATACTCAGAGGACGCTAATTGAACTACTGTGAAATGTCAGTCGAAGCAACTCGGCCAGCAGACCTAAACCTTGATCATGTCAATGAGCAATGATGGGTTCGAGTGAGAATCCGAAACGTCAGGCCGATGAACTTCTTGTCCTCGAATTAAAACGGAAGAGTGGAGAGATTGACGCCTCTGAACGGGAGGCAAAATTAGACAGGTGCCGTTTGAGCGGGAGTATAAGGACCCCCTGTGCTGCAGATGGTCTTCCGCAGATTCACCGATTCGCGTGTCTCGACTGTGACCTCAACCTTCCCAAGCCTAACCCTCATAATTCTAATACTAATTTTAACACCCCTGACCCTGAACTGCTACCTTGGGAATTTTGTTGAAAAATTCAGGCGAGAAATCTGGGGAAGAACACCGAAGTGTTGGTGAGCGCCCCTCTACCATTATATGCATGTATACGCGCTCACTGTCTACCCAAGAAGAAGAAGAAGAGAGGGCGAATTCATGAACCAAATTGTGTTTGAACTGACTCACGTCCTCTCTTCTTCTTCGAATTCTTCGGGAAATGATGAACACGATACAATTTTTGAACCCCAAATCTTCCCGCTCATATATATATATACATGATGGTAGAATGCGCTCACCGATCGCGCTACGGAATTCACGCATTCACTTGTGCCTTGTAGCTCTCTCTCGACCTCCGCAACTGGGTTCGGTATGCCTGGCTGACGACGGGTGGCAAGCCAGAAATGGCCGTTCTAGTCTCCTTTCTCCTTGTCGGCAATGCTATTCTGCATATATATATATATATATATATGCGTAAATATTTAAGTTTTGTATGTCTTATCACGTTCCTGATCTCCCAAAAAAAAGACGAGGACTAAGAGGAGGCGAATTCAAGGACCAAGTTTTATTTGTAGTGACGTCTAAGAAAGGTCCTAATTTCCGTCATTAGAGTAGTAAGTAGACTTTTCGTGTTAACCTTGAATTCGACAGCCTTGCATTCTAACCGGGCTTAACGCCCCTGTCCGCTTGCGTTTGACTAGTTTTGGCCTCTCCGGGTAAATGTGCCCTTGGTCTTATTTGCAGCCAAGTCAGCGTGCTTGCTAGCATCCCCCACGTCAGTCAGCGGACTGATCAATCATTACTGTTCCTGCGTATCGATTTTGGCCTCATGGCCTCGTCAGTGAGGCAGTGCCATGCTGATTAAGTGAGTTCCGGTCGTGCCTCATATTTTCTTCCCAGCGGACTTTCCCTGTCCGTCTTGGTGGCCTTGTGCGATCTGATTCGAGTTTGTGTGGGCTGCGCCTGATAGGCGGGGTGCAGGTCCAGGGCTTGTTTACGTGTCTCAGTCGAGAACCAACTTTCGAACATTACTCCGGTCATCTTCTCAACGGCTCGGCTAATCACCATCGCTTTATCAAAGACAAACCTATGGTCCTGCTGTTGTGCGTAGTCAAAGGCGACTGATAGCTTATCCTCGCGGTTAACTACAAGATGGCGTTCGTATCATCGTGAGCCGAAGCGTTTGCCCGTTTCACCAGCGTACCATGTATCCTAATTTTGTCATAGAATGCTGTAGACCACTGTTGATTGTGCTGACAATGGTAGCGGGTCTTTGAGCCTCAGAATTCGCTGGTGGAGCCGTTTAAACAGCCTTTAGTTTAGCGTACCACGCAGGAAGGTGATGAGGAGTAGGGGCATTCCGTGCTTGTGCATGTTTCATGGGCCGTAGATGCGCACTATCGTGGCATCCATGGATTTCACGGCCAGTGTTTCCCTCCTGATGATGTCATCCACCTACCTTAACTAGCCGTCATCTTATTTAAGCTTTTGACGAGTTTCTGAACTTGTTGGCCACCGAAAACACACAAGACTCGTGAAGCGGAACAAGAGAGATCATGTCTGTTTCTTCACGACTGATTCCTGGCACTCGTCTCTTCGTTTCTTTTGACACGTAAGGCTCTTTGTCCACAAAGAGGCTTCAGAGTTTTGCCTTGCATACGGCCTTATCCGTAAGAACCGTCGGGCGTCTCTTGTCGGCAGGCAGGGTGCGGTATTCTTAGTCTTTCTTGTTTCCAGAAGTTCTCAATATTCTGCCTCCGAGATCCTCATCCGGAATTCGCGTTTTTAGATTGTCAAAGAGGCTGTACCACCCGTGCTGTTTGCTGACCAAGGACTCGTTGCGGATAGTAAAATCGGATGACATTTGGCATTTTACGTGTAAAAGTGGCGACGGCGGAGATAATAGTGTCATTGGACACGATCTCGTTATTAACCCTGTTCTACCCAACTTAATCATCGACACTATTGTTGACTTTCTCCAAGAAAAGCACAGTGGACATGACCAACAGCTCGAGAGTGCGCGTCACTAAACTCCTGCAACT